CTTGAAATCGATCCACAACGTTATGTGAAGAGACAGATAGGAACCTTTCAGTTACTCACAGTGTCCACGAATGATAATAACTGGAAGATCTACCTGCCTGAAGGTCTGGTAGATAAAACACTCTGATGGTATCACCTACTGTTAGGGCATTGCGGCAGCACCCGGCTCTATGAAACCATCAGCGCCAGATTCTATGCCCCAAGACTCAGCTTAAGGTGCAAACAATACCAGTGTCCAGACAAGTGCCAGAGATTCAAACAGCTAGGACAGGGACATGGACTTTTACCAGCTCGTGAGGCTCAGCTTGCCCCTTGGAATGAGGTCTGTGTCGATTTGATTGGCCCCTGGAAAATCCTTCTTCCAGATGAAACAGAATTAATGATCAATGCACTTACCTGCATTGATCCAGTCACTAACCTATTGGAAATCATCAGAATCAACAACAAATCAAGTGAGCACGTAGCAGAGCAGTTTTCAAATTGCTGGTTGTCAMGATAYCCAAGACCCAACAGGTGCGTCCATGATAATGGCAAAGAATTCATAGGAAGCTCATTCAAACAGTTACTGAATCAGTATGAAATTAAGAGTGTCCAAACAACTGTCAAGAATCCACAAGCAAATGCAGTTTGTGAGAGAGTTCATCAAACAATTGCTAATGTTCTACGAGCCAGTCTTCATTCAAGGCCGCCCGAGGATGAGTTTGATGAGGATCAACTGATTGACAATGCATTTGCCTCTGCAATGCATGCTACCAGATGTGCCGTGAATGCAGCAGTGAAGACCTCACCAGGAGCTTTGGTTTACAACAGAGATATGGTGATGGACATTCCTCTCATTGCTGATTTGAAGCTCATCAGAGATAAGAGACAACACCAGATAGATGAGAACCTCAGGAGAGAAAACACTCGAAGGATACCCTTCAAGTATCAGGTCGGGCAGCAGGCTTACATGAAACACTATGAACCAGATAAGCTGTCCCAAAGACTACATGGTCCATATCCCATTGTGGAGATCAACACTAATGGAACTGTGGTGTTGCAAAGAAGCGAAAACGTACATGAGACTGTAAACATTCGGAAGCTTGTGCCGTATAAGGGAGCTCCTGAAACTATTGCAGAAGAAGAGCTGATTGCTACAGTTTAGTAGTGAGTAATATTGCAGTAATATATGAGCAATATTACTGTCCGGGACAATGCAATGGATACGTACGTACTGGATAGGATACGTACGTACCGGATACTAGGATGCGTACGTATTGAAAGGAAGCATACGTACGATACGAAGCTTG